GAAAGGAATGCTAAAGCAAACTAGATAATGATGAAATTGATGTCTGAATTATCCTTGATAATGTTATCAGGTTAGAAGGAAAGATAAAAGTCACCTTTGCAAGCTCTTCCTCAATGTTGTCGCAGAAGAATGCATACCTGCAATGGAAAGAAAAAAGTGAGCAGGCTGTGTAAGGCAAGCAAGGTTGGAGTCAGAAGTTGATTAGATTTTGCTACATAATATATTTTGTGTAATTTGTTGTTTTCAAGGTGTTGGATTTACTGTCTTAAATTAATCCTTCAACTGACATCACTAAAGCAAGGGAGTAGTGCTGGGAATGAGCGAGGCTAAGTGGCTTGTAGTGTTATGGCTAGAGTTAGAGCCAGAACAAGACTAGGGATCCAAACAACCAGAGGCTTTGGGGTTGTTTAAAATATGAACCTCAGCTTTGAATACAAACAAGAAATCATGAGTGAAATAGACCCATCCTGCATTATATTAGTACTCAGGGAGAAGGGCTTTAGAGTTTTTGCAATAATTTATTGCAAATAATATCATTTAGTATTAATATAAACATTTTAAGAATTCAATAATGATATATTTATATTTACCATAAACATCTTTAATTAACCGAACTCTACTAAATATTTTAAACAAACAATAATCATAAACTTAAAATCCGACCTTCTTTCTGAAAAGAAACAAAAATCAATTTTACTGGGTTTTAATCTTCTCTGTAACTGGAACAGAGAATATACACTTCTAGTTCCATGAATAGTAGAGACCACTACTATTGAAATTTTAAGATAATTTTATTTAAATTAATTGGATTATACATTAAAGATTTTGCCACCAGTAGCAGAGAAGCAGATACATTTTGATTATCACAGCTTGTAGCTCTAAACACACAAGCTACAATTGAAAGGTTCAAGTCAGAAAAAATAAAGATATTTTAATGGACACATTGCTGATATCACTCTTTAAAAAATAAAATTTTATACCAATTTAAATTGGGAATCATGAAGAAAACATCCTGCTCCCAGATGGACAAACTTGGCAAAACAGGAACAATAATTTAAAAAAAAAAAAGTATCAACAATTTGTGTAATGAAAGGAATAAATTGTACCTAAAGTACAAAATAATATTCTCCAACCCAGCAAGCTCTTAAGCATATGCTTAATTGTAAACAGGTGAGCAGTTCATCTCTCTTTAATGAGACAAATGAGAAGTGAAATGCACTTATGGGGCTGAGACCTAACATAGGCATTATTGACTAGAGTATTAATCAATTAAGAAAGCAATAAAAAAGCAGTGGTAGGTATGTACATGTTAAATATGTGGGTTAGTGCTGTTGTGTTTGACAAATTTGTTTCTTCCCTATGAACTGTGTAAATGAATCACATTGTCACCAGGGAGATGGACTACAGGTGGGTTTCATAACCCGCCTGGCTTTCTTAACTTTAGCTATTTAAACTATTCATCTAATCTCCCTCTGTAGCTAAGGGGGAAGGGAGACGTTTCTGGAAGCTGTTTTACCTTTATCATCCTTTGGAGGTACCGATTTCTCTCTTTTGACTATAAAAGGAGCCTAGGTGACTCAGCTTAAATTAAACTAGATACGTTTGTCTGGTTACAGTTAAGTGAAAGGAAGTGTCCTAGGGTCTAGTGTTAGAATAAATGAGATAACTATGCACACATTGAACTTAATGAATCTCATTGCAAGAGATGGATGTAAACATCAAATTTAACTCCAGTTGTGCAGAATCTGTCACTAACGGCTTCTAAAAGGTTAGGCAGCTCTTCCTCACAATGACACAAAGCACAAATGAGTATAAGTATTAAGCTGCTAGCCTGTATGTTTGTTACTATGCGCAGTCCTACTGAAGTACAAAATTATTTACATTTATAAGATTGTAAAAACCTGTAAGCTTGAGATGAGAACAATGGTGGACAGATGTGAGACTGAAACCTCTCCTGTCCGCAAAGCAACAGCCTTCAGCATATATCACCTGGCTAAAATGGCTTATGTGTTCATTCAAATGCATAGCCACTCATAGTATGTGATGTTCACTGGGTCACGCTAGGGGAATACCTTTTGCGACACACCTAGAGCCCTGCAAATGCTTTGCAGCTTTGGTGCTGATCCAATCAGGCACAGAAATAACTGGGAATTGACTCATGCTTAGAGGTGGATACTTGCTGTTAATCCCAGCTTTTAAAATGTACACAGTTTGTCATCGTTTTCATTGTGGTGAATGTGTGTGTCTGGCCACTTTTGTTTCACAATTGTCTGATGTTTGCCATGGACTCTTTTTTCAGCTCATGTGCTGCAGTCATTTGCTTTTCACTTGAAAGGATGTAATCAGACAAAAATCCCTTCAAAACCAGTTTCACTGAAGAAACGACCTAAGCAGGAGGAGCAAATATATGAGGTAGGATGGAGAGGAATGTGTTCTGACCCTGAAACATCTGCTCTTTTAAACGTGACATTACAAATGTTTAACCACATGTGCATTTTTCACTCTTAAAAGCTCAGCTAAGGAGGAGGAGATGGGGAGTAAGAGACAAAGAAAATGGGATATTAATTATGTTTCCATATGAAACTGACCAGTGAGATGCTACAAAATTATAGATGATACTGGACAAGAAAAGTAATATGAAAATACCTAGTAAGGCTGGAATTATGGTCAAAATGAGATGCATTTGGGACAAATACACAGTTGTGAGTCTACAGAAAAACACACAGAAATATGAATACTAAATGTAAAGCCAGAAAGGAATTGAGTAAAATGTACAGTTATGCACGTGCTTGAGTCTGAATATGTCTTGTATTGCTGCACTTTTCTCATATACAACCAAAGCACATGCCTAGAGTATTTTATTAAATAGGAATAGTATGTCTAGTAACATAATTGAAGTATAGCACGGATTTAAACCAGTTTCTCAATGGGGGCTTTTGTCATTAAAAAAAAAAGCCACTGTCATAACAGGCAAGAAATGCAGAGGCACTTATCTCACAAAGCCTCACAAAGAGGTGTTGACAGGTTCTCTGCCCACAGTTTCTAAGGGCTCTGGCAAGACAATTGTTTTTATTCCAAGTTCTGAATGAACAGAAATAGTACTGAAGCAGAAATGGGAAACAATAAATGAAATACAAGATGAAAAATCCGGCTAGCTCTCTCAAGTAATCACCTTCAACTTTTCTCTGTTGCTTTAGATTGCAATAGTGAGTGCTATACTACTCCCTATGTGTGTGAAACTCTGGAGATAACAGTCTTCATCTGGCAAAATAAAGACTGTGTGAAATCGTATTGGAACACAGGTTTTGGTACCATCTTGCAATGAAAATAGGTGCAAGAGATGCAAATCTCCATCTTAAACAAAGGCAAATGCAAGTTCCTTAGATAGCTAAATTGTCCACAGAGCGTTGGTTTGGTCGATGCTGTGCTGGGTACTGTGTGCACACAGAGCTGATGTAAGCTCCCACAAAGACGATGAGTGTGCAGAAGCAGGCTAGGAAGGAAGCTTCCCCACCTGACTGTGCGTGGAACCGACGGAAGCTTTGGGGCCGAGTATTAGGATATGAATATAACAGCACTGAGGTGGCTTCCTGTGTTCCAGGAAGCAGAACTTTGTCCTATCTTGTAAAGGAATAGAGTTTTGTGAAAGGTATTTGCACAGTAGGTCTAGCAAAGCACCACCAAAGCCCTGTTGCGATGAAAGCAGCGGTGTAACTGCAGTGTCCGCAGTCAGGAAGCCCAGGTTCACCGACGGGGGACAAGGGCAGGGTGCATATTTGGGCCAGGAACAACGACACTGAAAAGCAGTTGAGTCACAGCTTAAGAGTCATGCCATACAGACTAAGGTAGCAGGAATTCAGGGGAAGTTAGGCACATAAGGCTGTGCGGTTGTGGTTGGTTTTCTCCCGGTAAATGCCCCGTCACTGCAATGTCTTCTGTGGTGGAGACACACAAAGCACCTCACTCCACTGTCACCATTACTCCCTAACTGGAACAGCCATCACGTGCAGCCATGCTGAATCCAAATTCTTGTGCAAATCCTAAAACGTGTAAAAAGCTGCTACCACAGCACATCCAAAGTTCCGTACAAGCATTAACTAATTAGCTATCCTAATGTTCCTGTGAGACAAGCCGGTCAATTGATTAATCCAGTTTTCAAAGGTGAAGGGTCACCTGGGTCCCATAATAGGTTGGGCCATTAAAGGGTGAAATCTTCTGAAATTTCAGCTCGCTTTTTAAAATCAGGGTTTTGATTGACTTACAGATACCCTCCCCCCCAAGAATGTGAATTTCTCACTTTGTGTTTGTAAAGACCCAGGAATAATTTGAAGAGTCCCTTTGTTGTATAAATTTAGGAGTATGGACAATCGGTGATAGCAATTAGTAGTACAAATCTCTTAAAACACGAAAGAATGCTGTTTTGCTGCAGGATGAAAGACCTCTAAGTAATGTTCCTCATTCAGCTGTTTGGTTTTTTTTTAGCGTGTGGAAGGCACAGCTCCTTTTCACCGAGAGGCTCCGGGGTGTCTCTCCCTCCATCCCACCTTGCAACGCTTCCCAGCTTTTCCCACCTTGCCCGGCTCCTCTGGGCCAGGCTGCGGCGGGGAACCCGCCGCAGCCTGGCCCAGAGGAGCCGGGCAAGGTGGGGGAAATTTGGCAAACACCCGCCTCCCCCCTAACCAGCATCGCAGACGAGATACCCAGCTGTGCTGCTGCCCCCTCCCGGGGCGAGGCGCGGCCCCTTTAAGGCGGCGCGGGGCGCACTGTCCCTTTAAAAGGCGGCGGGAGGCGGCGGTGGCGGCGGTCGGGGCTATCGCCTGCCCGCCGGCTTTTACACCCCCCCCCCCCCCCCCCGAGCGGCCAGGGGGGGGGTCCGGAAACAA